ATCAAAATTAATGGGTGGTTTTTTATATTTTATTTAAGTATTATGTTTAGTTTTATTCCGTTGTTGTATTTACTGAAGCCTATTTTCACTGTAATTTGTATTTAGTTTTTTGCGCTTGAAACGTACGCTAGAAAAATTATTTAACACCACTCAAAAAGATGAATAATTAATGATTTTATAATTAAGAAGCAGATAACCTGAAGAAAATCAATGGCAGCATGCTGAAATAATTGTATGCATACTAAAACCCTATGAAAGCGCTACGAAAAGTATGAGTACAGACACATCAGAGATCATATCGTTTCTTGACTATGTTTAGGACAAATCAACTGAAATCAAAACTGTTGTTGATGAACTTAAAACTGATTTTAAAAATTATTTTCATAAATACAAAGGTAATGTTTGTCTGAAAATTGATATGATGCTCAAACCCCCTTTCAAATTAAACTTCTTAAAGAAACAGGCCATAGTATGTTTAAGTATGTAAAGTATGTTTTATAGTATGTAATATTATAGCAAGGGTACTACTAAATAATCATTAACAACAAGCAAAAGAAGTTGATTTCGTTAAAGACTCTGATCGTGATGGTCAAATCAAAAAAGAAAACAAAAAAGCATGGTCGTATTCAGCTTTTTTGATCAAATAGGTATAAATGAAAATGATTCACAGAAATTTTAAAACACTGACGGAGGGTAAAAAAAAAGTATAAAATTTAAAAGAAAAATGGTACAAATAAAAAATATCCGAATAAAATTATTATTTTTTTAAATTTATTACAAATTTAATTAAAAATTAATGTTAATTTTCAAATTAATTATTTTGGTGCATTCAGTTACTAGAAATTTATTTACAGATTTAATATTACTGCAAGCAGACTAAAACTATATACAGGCAGGCTGTTTCTACCTGTAGTTAGGAGTCTTTTTGCATTTAATATTTTTAATTTTATTGAATATACCAAGATTTTCTAAGGAATAAACTGCTGCCAAAAAAAGCTAAAAAAAAAGGTGCAAAACCTGGTCAAAGGACTACCAGTTAGTAAAACAAAAAAAAAAGTAGATGTCCTAAAATATTTTGTGTTGACCTCCTTAAATACATTTACTTTTAAAATGAAGTGAAAACTATTTAAACCCTATTTTTTACATTGTATTACCATCAAATATCTAATTACATTTTAAGAAATGTTTTTTTGATTTTCTCCACCAAAAGATTATTAATAAATAGCTCAATGTACTCTTTTCATACAAATACTCTATAATACTACTTTTAAAGATGATGAAAATATTCATTATACGTCGTAAAATATGAATTTCAGCAGCCTACTTTCTTATTACTCAAATGATGTTCTTTAAAGATGCTTACTGTTTAGATCAATTATGCAGCACAACAATCTTTCTTTGTACTCTGGATGATTATTATTTCCCTTATACCTCGACCAATGTTGATAAAAACCTTGATGAGAAATTTCGACAGTTTGCTCATTATAGGGCCCCAAAAGGGATCCTTTGTGACTGATAAAATCCTTGATGTGGTAGAAGACGGCGTGAATTTGGGGTGTTACGCTTGCACCAGTTATCATTAGGTAACACTTTTTGAAATTTTCAATATTTTCAGCGAAATCTGGCTGAAGGATGCATCCAAAGCAAGCCTTGTCAACTAAATTGAGCAAGTTGCTGCAGCATATCCACATTTTTAAGAAGCTTCCTGCATTCATTTTCTTCAAAATGGCCCCCGTGATACGGGCTCAGTTGAATGTGGAGGGCGGCTGGCCATTTAACAGCTTCTATCCAAGCAGTTTTAAGGATCTTGAAAAGATGGTTGACAACTCCTAAGTTGAAATGATTTCCAAAATCAGAACATTGACAGGCTCACAGATGATTGGCTTTTGAATGACATTGCCAAACAACTTTGCATTAGCAACAACCCCGCCAGATTGCTGAAAAGACTCAAGGCTTGAATTAATTGAGCCCACTGTTCACAAGTTTCCAGATTTAACAAGACAATTGGATTAGACGACACACCAGGTGCAAGGGTGCGTACTTGAATGAGTTTGAAGACCACAAATTATATTTGCAACTTTCATATCACAAGCAAAAATTAGTTTAACTCCATTTGCATTAATCAGTGAACAGATTTGTTCAATATTGGAGTGTGTTTCTGGCAAATCTTCTGAAATCTTAACACTAATTTGTCTCTTGACTCCAGTGTCTTTACCAGTCCTGTGAGTGAGAGGTTGTTGTTGGTGCAGTGAGCTGGTTTCATCCCTTAACGCAGTATCAACAATGCTTAGGCAAAACTTGAGAAAACCTTTGCCACCATCAATTCCAAGCATAACAAAATAGCCACCAGAAATTTTGCGGGACTGAACAACATGATTCACAAGACTTGATAAATCATTGCAGTGAGCAACAACATGAACTGTACAAGAATCTGTTTTTTCGTCTGTGATTTTTAAGTCGCTGCAGGTAAAGAAATTGCTTAATTATTGACCTACTCTTAGGAAATTCATGTAGAAATTTTGCTCTACCATCTTGCTGCTTGATGCTTTGTTTACAGTTCTAACAAGTTTCTTTAATCCGTTGTTTGACAGGCCTGTATTTAATTGCACATTCACAAGGGCTACAGTGGTCAATTTTGGAGCACTTGATGGTGTCTGCGCACTACTTTGACCTAAAACTAACCCATACATATTTTATAATTACAATAAGCTTTGTTTAGTGAAATTGTGTAAAACTTTCAAATTATTCGTTTTTAAAGAAATTAGAAACTTGTTAAAAATATGCTTTTTGAAATCTATCTAGTGTTATTTCTTAATAGTCAAGACTTTATTTCAATATATATGTTAAAACTAATTAAGTATAAATATTTACCAGGGGTAACTGTAGGTGGAGGCCCGTCGGATGATTTAGCCAGTAGAATACTTCCTTCCGGAGATAATTCTTTATTGGAAATAACTCAAGATGCAATTTATTCAGATGATTTGGCATCTTTTGCTGCTAAAGATCAAATACTTTCCCTTAACATTATTTGAGAGCATTAGTGGGGCAAACCTTTTCCTAAAGGGCTGAGGCATTTGCTGCAATGCACCTTTGGTTTTTTCTCAATAGTGGTTTGCTCTATAAGAGGATGTTTTTCTTGCAGCTTTGAACGACCAATTCGGCATATTAGAAAACAACACATCGCGCCTCTTGTTTCAGGTCTCACTTGTATTGACTTAAAATCAAACAAAAAAGGGAGAGCAACTTCTTTACCCTCTTGTTTCCTGCGCAAAGTAATTCTACATGATTCGCAGTAAGCTGTCTTAAACATTTTTTCAGACAGAGCAAGCACACAAACTTTCGATTTTCATCACGATTCTTTGCTTGATTTGGCATTGTGGCAATTCACTAAATTTGACTTCAAAAAATCAAACTCTGCCTTTTACAAAATTTGACCTAAATTTATATTTGATAACAATCCACTTAACATAGTAACACATTATTAATTAAAAACTATTAAAATAGAGGAAATAATTACTTGATTTAATTGAGGTAATACTAAACTTCAAGGAAATAATTCTTGAATAGTTCTTTCCTTACCAGGAAACAGTTGTTTGAACTATTTACTTGTAAGGAAATTACATTATTGATAATTGTCACACTTATTAAACTAATGATACTTGTCACACAGGTTGTTTTATTTCAAAACAACCCTTCAACCTAATTATTTATTCAGTTAGAGTAATTTTCTTTTGACTGGCCCTCAAAACTTTGTATTGGTCAGATATCTTAGATAACTAACTTAGTTATTTAAATTTTTTAAGCCAATTATCTTTGTCAATATAAAAAATATTTGATTTTTTCACAGTTGTTCTGTTTTCAGATAAATATTTTTATTTTCTATATAGGTATCCCTAGAAATCCTTCTTAACTATTTTTTTAGAATTTTTTTGCATTCTGACAGTAGTTTATACCTTAGGAAATGTTGGTATATTCACGCTATGCATACATGGCCGTCAAGGGAGCCATGGCCTGCCCACTTTTTTTTTGCGAGAACCTTTTGTTTTAGAAATATAGGCAATTATTTTAAAAAATATGGATTTTATTTTAGAAATTGAGGGGTTGACCCCTCCACTTTGAAGGCCGTTTCAACGCCATTGGCATAAACCAATTCAAATCACACTTTAAGTAGCAAATCACTATTTTGGTCTATAAAATGAAAACTGTACATGTACCGATAAAATAATTATAACAAAAATTGTTGGTATTACACAGTAGAACACTCATGTAACCGTTATTTTAAAAATAGTGACTGAATTTCAAAGTAATTGGTAACGCTTTAAGGTATAAGTAGCAAAAAACTGACAAAACTTTAACTAAAACTGCAATAAATCCTACACCAGTCATCCAATCAAGCTGAAATTTTGTCCAGAGTTTGGTGTGACTATTGGCTACATCACCTTTTTATAAAGTATAAACCATCCCGCCAACTTTTCATAAATCTCTCTATATAGCAATGATTAGGCGGAATGGTATTTTTAATTTACCGAATATCATCTTGTTACTTTTTTTTCTCCACTTTGAGCACTGTGTGTATGTATGTATATATATATATATATATATATATATATATATATATATATATATATATATATATATATATATATATATATATAAATTTTTAACTATATTCTAGGTCTTAAAATTATTAATAAAATTAAATATAAAACAAATCAAAATTGAGCAAAGCAGCTAAGCATTTAAAAAATGTTAGCAAATAAGCAAACATTAAAACTGATAACATTATATTTGAAAAAAATCCTAATTTACCTATTAGTAAAAAAGAAAAGAATACAAAATCTAATTTAGACCCAATGTATCGGTATTGGGATGTACCAAAAATGGCATCGGCATCAGCCAAAAGTAGGTGGTGCACCTCTAATATAGAGTAAAACTCCAACCTATTGAGGTTTTTTTAAATAAAACATTTAAAAAATAATCTTGAGTAGCACAAATTTTACCTGGAAAGTTTTCACACAAAACCTCAATTGGAGTTGATCTTTTTGTATCTCCTATCTTTTGGTAACGCTCTTTTAGGGTATCAGCTTTCAAACCCTGCCATGGTAAACTGCCCCTTAAAAAATACATAAACATGTGTCCAAGGGCTTCCAAATCATCACGACGACTCTGTTCTAAAAATTTTGTAGAAAGAAAAAAAGTCAAAATTTATAAGTTATGCACAAGTTATAGGTTTGATGTTATATGATAAAATGATATCTGATGCAGTGTGCATCAGATGTAATTTTATCCCATTAATTACAATCTATAGTTTTATCATATCATATTAATTATATTTTGTAGTTTTATTATATCACATTAATTATATTTTGTAGTTTTATTATATCACATTCATTATATTTTGTTGTTTTATTATATCACATTAAATATACTTTGTAGTTTTATTATATCACATTAATTATATTTTGTAGTTTTATTATATCACGTTCATTATGTTTTGTAGTTTTATCATATCACATTAAATTTATGCTCCAGCTCCTGTAAAGGTATCTTTTCTTACTCAAGCCTTTTAAGGTTGGATTTCTTGATTCAGAATTAGTTGATTTGTTGCATCATGAAGTTGGTTAATCAATGTCTGCTCGTTTAGAAACACATGAAGCAAACAGTTTTCCGTTTTCTATTTATGGTATCTATGCAAATAATTATTTTAAAAACTAAAGCTGAAGCTATATCATGGAATTTTATCATTTATAAATTTGTACCTTACAGAAAGTACAACTTTGATTATTCTTGAAGAAACACAACTATTTACTTTTTTTTAAAACCAAAAACTTTAAAATAATTTTTCTATTCTATAACAAGCTTTTAATTTATTATAGAATTCATTTCTTCTTATTATATAATTTATTTCACTATACTGTTATACTTTTCTATTATTTAACAGACCTAACAATAATTATGGATTGGTTAAAAATAAAACTGATTTACAGCTTTTTAATGAGATTTTATGCAAAATTTGAGATCAGATTTTCTTCTGCAGATTATTTTGGGATTTATATCCCAGTAACCACTATCGTTCTCCCAAAGGATTTCTTAGAGTCATGACATTAGGCACTTCTTCTAATTTAAAAAAAAAAAAATTTTAAAGAACTTCTGAAAACTGATTAAAATAAAGTGAGATAAAGTAATTTTAAATTTGTTAATTTAAAAAAAAAAAAACATTTTTTAGCATTCATCTTAATAAGTAGATTTCTGCAGGTTACTTCACTGATGGAGATGAAAATCACTTCTGCTTCCATGGCTAAAGCTTCCGTTGCTAAAGCTATTTCTCACATTCCTGCTTCCGTTGCTAAAGAAGAATTTAATTAAGGAAAAAATAAATTTCTTAATTAAACTCTTCTACAGCTTGTGGGATGGACAGCATTTCTGTCAGTCTTCCATAAGTGTTCTCTCCAGAACTCTCATCATTTTTCTCTAGGCTATTTAATAATTGAATCTTGCTTTTAAGCCTTCTGAAAAAGGGGATTTGTGCTTCCAATTTTCACCTTAACTATGACCAAATTAGAAAACAATGAAAGATGGAGTAAAGATTGGAACCTTGTGGTACTCCAGAAGAAAATGACAAAGAGTGTTGTCAATAAAGTAATGCAATAATTCAATAATTTTCAAAACTTTCCCAAATACACCATATGAAAAAAATTTTTACCATTTAAATAACAAACTTTTAATTTTTTTCAAATCTTGAGTCTAACAACTGTGTGACAACCAATGATTTCAATTCTCGCATTCTACTGCAGACTCGTTAACCATGACAACAGACAGAAGTGGTGAAGCAAGGTCTATTGAAATTGACATGTAAAACCTTAAGATCTTAGAAAAATTTTGAAATGTTTTCTCTGTATACTCGCTTTATATTGTGTATTTGGAAAAGTTTTTAAAGTTATTGAATCATTCCATTATTAAAGGAATGTGGTATTAAAATGTGGTTATTGAAACATCAAGCTTTAGCATTCCCCTTTTATGCTGTTTCTCCAATATAAATAAACCTCGAGCAACTTTTTTCCTTAACTAAAGCATCTTCTAAATCTTAACTATGTTCATAACATACGCAATGCATCCTCTATAAGTTATCTTACTTCTACCTCAACCATTTTCTCCTAAAGCTGCAACCTCTCTACATGTTCATATCCAAATTACTTTAATATTCTCTGAAAAACATTGTTTGATACAATGTTTTTTCTAAAAGCTGTCTAAAATTATGGCTTCTTTTCTTGTCTTGTTACAGGGTTCATGGCAGTTTTATAAAGCCATTTTCCCTGATTTTCACCCAATTTCAAGTAATTTTTCCTTGATTTCGGTGGTAAAAAATATGTAATTTTCCTTGTTAACGTTGAAGGATATAATACTTTCACAACTGAATCCATGTTTTCTTAATATTTTTATCAGAATTTTTTAAACCTTATTCCTTTTTTTATTCTTCTATTAGAAAATTAAAATAAAGATTTTTTTTAAAAGATATTTTGAACAAAGTAATGTTTTAACAATATGTAGAATTTATATGAGATCTATTCTATATAAAGTTATTTTACTATCTTTCTCATTTGATCTAAGATTTTATTAGTGTCTGTTATTGAACTTAGATACATTCTATAACTTTCATAGGCTGATTTTACATTGATTATCATTTTGTTTATAATTTCAATATTATGTGGCTGAAGATTATTTGACAGCATATGATCTTAAACTCATGCAGCTATTGATTTTTCATTCAAATTTTGTTTGAGTACTGCGGCATTTATACTAAAACCTCTCTCAACTGAAGCTTATCCACAACTCAGTGTCAAAAGTATTTTGACAATTGATGCCAACTTGTTATATTTATTTAGATTGCACTTTTTAAAATAGAAGTAAAATTTAGTAGTCTAAACTATCTCTATTGAATTCATGAAAATTGTTTTGATAAATTTGATTCTCTAAAGAAATTTATAAATTGATTTAAAGCTTTAACGGAAAAGACGTGAACGTTTAACGTGAAAGATATTTTAAGCTAATCAAGTGGGTCAATAAAGATTTGTACTCCTCTGTGTTTTCTGGAGTCATTGTTATCAATCCATTAAGGTTAAAAACCTGAGAATTGCATACAATGATAGACCCTATTAAAGTTCACTCCATGAACTTCTCAATTAGTCGTACAAAGCAATCTTTTTGGAAACTTTGAATATCAGTAATTTTTTCTTTTAGGTTTTTTCATTAAATTTGACATGAGCCCAAGTCATAGTAGGTTCATTTCAATCATGGATAGATAATTTTGGCACAGCAATGTTAAAAAAAGGAACTAACTTGTAGTTAAATAGCTTCGCTGTTAAACAACAGTGCTTTAAGTCTTGTGGATGTATTTTTATAACATATTAATAATGATAAATATATTTTCTGTTAACTTGTTTGAGGGTCCTTATCAATCCAAGTGGACTATAAAAATCACCTACCCTTGTGAGCTTTTCAATTTAATTTCTGGAAACATAAATACTTATTATATCTTTCTTTTGTAAAGAAGCTAATCTTGTTTCAGCTACAAATCCTAGTTTGATTTGATTTCCTATAAGTAGATAATCTTTTTTATGAAAATCAACTTCTGCTATAGATCAATTATCAATAACTTTGCGTTTCATAAACAAGTTCAGTATGGTCCACAACAGTCTTTCTAAGTCACTATTCATGAATGGAATCATTGGCTTGTCAGTTTGGTATGACAACAAATATGGCTCTACTATCCTGGCAACAAAGCTGAAAACTTTAAATTTTGAACAAGTTTGTCTTTAACAGCTTTTTTTTTGGGTTGGTTTTAAAGATGGTAACTTTTCCCAAAACTCAATTAACTTTAATATATTAGGCGAGATTTTAATGCCACAATCTGCAACAGATTTATTTTTAACCCGCCAAAATAAAAGAAGGTATTTTGTTGCGTCTGTGACTGTTTCATAATCTTGACGCCTAGCCAGGCTGTTGTGAGGAGTTTCTAACACCCTTTAAGAATTTCTTTAATATTCCATGGTGTTGATTCAATAGCTATTTTGGGTACCATAAATAACATGCAAGGAGCAACTTCCAATATTTATAAGCTGTGGCATCTCGTTGTTCTTTTTGTGATTATTTAGCTCATTTACAAATTTCAATTTGTAGAGGGTTCATGGAAACTTGAAACATTTTACTTGAATCAAATCTTGATAAGTATTCGTTAAAATGAGTAAGAAGGTCAGAAGCTGTAGAATCACTGAGAAAAGCTGACGTCCAATATCTTACTTTAACTTTGTTATTAACATTCCATTATCGAATGAGTAGGTCCATCTGTCATGTTTTAGTTATGTCCTTCAAACTCTCATCAAAAGATATGATGTAACAATCTGATTTTGTGATTTTTTCTTGTAAGAGTGTCTTGAAGTATGGCGCCAGTCCATGGTTAACTATGTATGATATTTTTGAGGAACTCATGCTGAAATCATCTGCTACCTTACTCAGGCCTCGGCGGGAAGCGAGAGCTTTAGCTCTCGCTCTCGCCCACACTCCCCTAAAACAGTTTACAGGAGCAATTTACAGCTCTCGCAAAAGTATAATTTTTCTCATGAAGGTATAATTAAAATTACAAAAGAGTGCTAATTTAAATGAGGAGCAGCTCGCACAGCTCCCCAAATCCAAATTCGTTTTAAGAGAGCTTTTTTCAGCTCTCGTGCTCATTTGTTCCCGCCGAGGCCTGCTTACTGTCAAGAAAGATCTTTTTAAGAGTTGTTTAAATTTGCACATGAATTATTAGAGTAGTAGAATTCTTATGTAGATTTCAGTGCTCAAATGATCTCAGCAATAGTTGATAAAGATGATTTAATTGAGAAATCAATAGTCGTTTGTTTTTTGGTGGAAAATGTATTTTTTTCTTCACATCTAAGCGGCTCAGCTTGCAACTCTTTTCCATTAACAACGAAATAGCTAACAGGATTGTAGTAGATTGATACTTTTTACATAAAAATTTTTATAAATATGGTGTTGTAACCAATCTCCTTGAAAATAGGTCTTCTCTGAAGTCGTATTTTATGTTATTATATTTAATTAAATATTTAATTAAACATATGGTTACTATATTTTATAAAACTTATAAAACCACTGTAGTGAGCAACTTTCAATAAAAATAAAAACTCTAAATTTGTATGTTACAGAATAACTTCAAGTTATATATAAAACTAAAAACCATTCCATGAGTTTTCCCTGATTTTTAGGATTTTCAAAAAAAGTTCCCTGACTTTTCCAGGTATTCCCTGATTTTTCACATTTTAAAAACTTTTCCCTGAGTGCCGTGAACCCTGCAATTGTTGGACATCCAAATTGCTTTGACTCCTGAATTATTTTCATTTGAGCTACTTCATATTCTTAAGTCAATTCTCAATTAAACTCTTCTAGAGCTTGTCGATCACACAACATTTCCATCATAGTCTTACAAAAGTGTTATCTCTTCAATTTTCGCTAAACTATTGATAAGTGCTAAATAAGAGGTTCCGATTTTTAAAAACTCTAGAAAGCACACTGACCTATGATTAGTCTTCTCTCTATTTTTTTTTTATCTCTAGTTTTTTTTATATAAAGGTTATAAAGGCTTTATATAAAAATTTTTAAAAACTCTAAAATGCACATTGTTCTATCAATGTTTTTTGACCAACAATCCTATGATTAGTCTACTCTCTACTACTAGTTTTTATATATAAAGGTTTTGAAATAATTAAAAAGTCAAAACATAATCAAGGTTTTGAGATTTTTCTAAATATGTATGCAGAAAAAATGTGCATATTTTTTTTTTGCTCTTAAAACAATTTTTCGTAATGAATTATTTTACCAAAAAATATTGAAGTAAAAAAATAATAGGTATAGAAATGATCAGTGTGGATAAGTAAAGAAACGGTAGGTTTGGTAAAGACCTGCATTTTATGGGTCCGGAAAGCTAGGATATATATATATATATAAGGAAAAAGTATAGAAAAGATTGGTGTGAAATAGACTTACAAAGATCCAGAGAAATGTTGTCGTTTTTACAGGTCTGGTCAGCTAGTTATATACTATTGCTAATTTGTGTAATAGTTATTTGTTTTTGCAATTAGTGTCTTTTTTTTTTATCAGATTCTGACTATTTTTAACACTGCGCTAAAATTTCTACTATTTTTATACTATTTTTTTTCCTTAGCTTATTTACAAACATTTACTTTGTAAAGTAAATGTTTGTAAATAAACAAAATACTTTGTCCTAATCTGCAAAATATTTTTCAATTCTAAAAATATCTAAATAACGAAAAAATCACTTATGATTAATCAAAACTAACATCAACATAACACTAGAACATCAACATTACACTAACATCAACATAACAGTAGAACATCAACATAACACTAGAACATCAACATAACATAAACATCAACATAACATTAACATCAACATAACACTAACATCAACATAACACTAACATCAACATAACACTAGAACATCAACATAACACTAACATCAACATAACACTAACATCAACATAACACTAACATCAACATAACACTAGAATATCAACATAACACTAGAACATCGACATAACACTAGAACATCAACATAACACTAGAACATCAACATAACACTAGAACATCAACATAAAAGGCTAACAGATTTCAAAGAAATCTTATTATGTATCTATGAGTTTTTGTTACAAAATTCTTAGTGTAAATATTTTTAGATTAAAAAATTCAAACTAAAAGAATTCTGCCATTTTAGAATTAGCTTAATTATATGTTACCTAATTCATAAGCAAAAAGATTATATATATATATATATATATATATATATATATATATATATATATATATATATATATATATATATATATATATATATATATATATATATATATATATATATAAATAAAATCTATAAGCTAATTCTATGGCAGAATTCTTTTAGTTTAAAATTCCTGGAAAGTTTACTGTGAAGAAAATTTTATTTGATATTTTGATTGACTATGGGGCCTGGTGGAACAAGTTTTACAAGAGAACATGTTTAAGCAATGACTCTTATGGGTAAAATATAGCAAAACCTGACAAAATGTTTAAATGTTTATCTCAAAATACTGTGTGATGTCACTTTCTTTTGATGAACCAATGGAAATTGAACCAATTATGCTGGATTGATGTGACATTTTTTGCTTACAAAACACTAAGAAAGACTTAGAACTACCGACTAATAAAGCCTATTCAGCTGTATTACCCAACTAGTCAAAAATTATGGATATAAAAAAAACTTTGAATTATATTACGGCAGAAAAGCTTCAGTTTTGGAATGAAATAACGCCATGGTTCGTAATTTCTGTCCCTATTCAAGAAGATCAATCAACTTAATAAATGAAGTTCTTAAGCAGTACTGTGCATCATATTATGATATTAAACCAACAAAATAGCATTATTTCAATAGTATCACATAAATGCTTTTCAAGATTTTAATAGGACTTTTTTCATTTTCAAACCTAAATTAATGTAAAAAGAGATCATGTCCAAGTTTGAAAAAATGTTGTACACTATCAACAAAATAAATATTAAAAATTATGTTTATATCTTTTAGATTTGTACTAACCGTTAAATAACTAGAGAAAAAATTGAAAAAAGTTTAAAAATAAGGGTCAAAATAGTTTTTCGTCTTTCCTAGAAATTTGGGATTTATGGACTAGTTAACTTTCTGCAGTTAGCAGTTCAAATGCATATAAAAACAAAAATACTTTGTATTTATAAAGAATTCAAACTTTTTATAAAACATTTCTTTATAAAGAAAAACAAAATTCTTTTTAAAATCATTTCAATTTTATTAAATTTAAAATACTGTCTCAAAATTTTTATGATCCATTTAATTCTATATATTCAACATACCTTTTCCTAAGTGTGTATTAATGCTCATATAGCGTGCTGTTCCTGTTAAGCTTTTGTGTTCACGATAAGGAATATGTTTTTTAGTTTCTGGATCTATATATTCTTTTGCTAATCCAAAGTCTATTATAAATATTAATTTCTCAGTGCCATTCTGGCGTCGACCAATTAGAAAATTTTCTGGTTTAATGTCTCTGTATATCATATGCTTAGAATGAACATACTCAACACGTCGAATCTAAAGACAAAATTTTTAATAAATCTAAAGAAAAAAAAAGTAAATAAAATGAATTAAATAAAAGTAAATAAATTATAATTTCAAAAATTTTAAAAGTTACATAACACTTTCTCTTATTACCTTTGTTACTAAATTTTTTATTTATTAAGAAAAACATAAATAGCAATACCAGTTGCATTGCAATCATAAGAACAGTTTTCATAGTAAACTGTCTTTCACACAGATCAAATAAATCTTCCAAACTTGGTCCTAATAATTCCATTACCATAGCATTGTATTTACCACATGGTCCAAAATAAAAGACTTGAGGCATTCCTTCTATAAAATTAAAAACTTCTATTATAGCCATACATTTTCATTATAGAATTTATGCATAGAGCATTGTAAAAATAAATGCATTAGATTCTAATACACACCAATTCTATACACACATTCTGCTACAGGTTTTATATTCATATAGAATCTTAGATTTATTATGTACAAAAATAAATTTTTTCAATTTGTTGAAAAAATGTTGAAGTTAGTAAAAAATCTTGCAGAGGACTGTAACCTTAACTAAATATTTATACATAATTTATAATATATTATACTCTAAAACTAAACAAATAAAATTCCCTTGTATGTAAATTACATATTATTAATTGAACACTTACTTTGATGTGATACTAAGCCCCAGTTTTTTGTAGCCCCAAAAATTTAAAAGACGAAAACACAAAGAATACAGTAGAAAACAAATAGAGCATATTTACAAAGTTTCTCATACTTTCATTGAGTGCAAAGTGAACAATCTACTATGGAACTAGGGGTTGTTTTATTTAAAACTTTTATTCAAAATAAAAATACTAAAATCAAAAAAGAAATAAACTTTAAACATGTTAGTAAACTTTAACATGATTACAGAAATTTTTTTATTTTTTTATTCTGATTCACTCCCAACAAGGCTGCAAGCAACCACAATTAAGTGGAGAACAGAAAACTTAAAGAATTGAAGGTGGTATGAGTCAGGAAAAAATGAAAATGGGAGAGAGTTCCAAACGGCTGAAGTTTGGAGAAAAAATCTAGACAAAAAGTTTTTGGAGCATGCAGGGACAAATACAGTAAGAAAATGAGACTTTGATGACTGACAAGTCAAGCCAGAATGAGTTTTAGTTGATGGAGCTAGAGATGAAAGCTCCTTTGAGCAGCGACCATGATAGTATTTGTAAAAAAGAGAAAGAGATGCAACTTTATAACAATGGGAAAGAAGCTCAAGCTAAGCAGATAGACTGGGTCCAACTACGTTTACAATGCGCTTTTGGACCTTGTCTAGAAGGGAAAGAGCATCATTAAAAGAACCAGCCCAAATATGACAACAGTATTTCATACAGGGACGAATAAGAGATTAGTATAGGTAGAGAATGAAATCAAGAGAGAGAAAATGGCGAGCACAAAAAGAGAAGCAACCTAGCAGATGCTAATTTAGCAATCGATTGTATATATGATTTCCATGGAAGATCAGCTTTGTTGGAGTTAAAATTTACAAGCCACTGTGAGTCCCAATCTGTTAGTGAGGTCAGATTTAAGATTGGCTGCCTATTCTAAGCGATCAAAAAGAGAAGACTTATTTTCAAGACAGGAGTATAAAGTTGAGTCATCAGCAAATAGAGCCACTTTAGATGTAAGGTTGTCAGGAAGATCATTAATATAGATAAGAAACAAAACAAGACCAAGAATAGAACCTTGAGGTACCCCAGAAGTTAATGGAAATAAAGAAGTGTTGGCCTTCTAGGATGACTTAAATAATGCAGTTAGAAATGATTTGATCAACTCAAAACTTTCCCAGATACACCATATGAAGAAAATTTATGAAGAAGACCTGCGTTCCAAACTTTATCAAAAGCTTTAGATATGTCAAGAACAATAGCCCTAATCACGCTGCCTCCATCTACTGCACGATAAAATTATTCAGTCACAGCAGTTAGCGGGTGACAGGAATAATGTCAAAAATGAATTTCAGAATAGTGTTGAATATATTAAAAAGGCCTGTCTCAAAAAAAAAAAAAAAAGGAATAGTGTTGCAAACAGTAAAAACGGAATAGTCGCAAACAGTAAAAACGGAATAGTGTCGCAAATAGTAAAAATGAAATAGTGTTGCAAATAGTAAAAACAGAATAGTGTCTTAAAAAATTCTCAAAAATTATTTAATACCTTAAAACACAAAAAATGTCAAACTATTTGAAAATCAAAGATATTACCTTGAATTCATTTGTGACACTATTCCATTTTTTTGTTTTCGAGATTATGTGGTTTATTTATTAAACTCCTTTGTGACATTATTCCTTTTTCTATTTTTGAAACTACTCATAAAATTCATTTGCAACATTATTCCTTATTCTGTTATTCGACAATCAAACATGCAACAATTTTCTTTTTTTCAACACTATTTCTTTTTTACAATTTCGACAATCGAATTTGCAACAATAAAAATTTGCGACAATCAAAGAATGATGTGTCTGAATGATCTCCAGAGTTTTTAAAAATTTGAACCATAGATGCCAGCAGGTAGGAAATGGATTCAGTCAAGCACTTAATAGTTTAGAGAAAAATGAAGAGAGTTCTGGAGAGCACTTTTGTAAGACATTAACATGAATGTTGTCTTTTACCGCAAACTATAGAAGAATTTAATTGAGATATGACATTAGCAACAAAAGCCAAAGCAATTTGAATGTCTAACAATGGGTTAACTTATTTAACTGGAATGAGTATGGTCATAAGATTCAAGAGTATTAAAAACTATGGATTGTCACTGCTTTTTTAACAATATTTTTTATGATTTTATACACTAAATATTTATTAGCTTAATTTCATATTGGATTACAAATAGCACTTATTAGATCAATTTATCGATTTTTCTTGGTCTGGCTTTACTATAAACCATTTTACAGAACCTGATAGACTAGTTTAACTTTTTTTTTTTTATATATACTTTTTTATCAATTTTATCATAAAAATTATAATAAATAATCGTTCTTGATATTTTTTTAATCTTGTAATTTAAAAATTAGAGATAAAACACATTTAAAGTAGATTAAACATAAATAAAATAATAAAACTAATTAGTTTTTTTTTTCAGTTTAAATTGTTTTTAAAAGTTATCGTTTTAATTTTTAATTTAAAGTAATTTTTTTAAACTGATCAAAAAGCAATTCATCGAGGAGGTCACAGATATAATAAACTTTATCAATAAATTTTTTTTACTTATATCTTAAAATTTTTTTTTTTTTTTTACCTTTTTAAATGTTGCTGTTAACAGGATTAAACTTTGAACTAATTAGAATTCTACGTTAAAAAAAGTTTATATGAAAAATGTTAAAATTTTAAATTCAAAGTATATTAAACAAGTTTTAAATTAATAAAAATATATTTTTTAAAATACTAAAAATTAATTTTGAATCGATATAATGCTAATATTTGACTAAGCAAAAAAAAAAGACATGCAGCTTTCGGAATTAGGTCAAAAGTTTGATTAAATATAAATATATAAAGATGTATGCAACTTAAAACTAAAACATAAACTTTCAAATATGCAGGTATTTAGATACTTAAAGAACAGGCCATTGCCTTGAAAATAGGCAAAAAAAAAACAGTGAAAAATCACTAAAACATAAAAAACAGTAATACAAGCTCTATAGTAACTCTACATATGTAAACCAAGTACATATATATGTAAATATGTAACAGTTATACAACTTCATCATATATTGAAGAAAAAAAAGAAAACTTTAACAAACAAATTCTACACTATTGCTTTTATTTTTATTTTCTTCCAAAACTTATTAAAAAATATCAGTAGGTGAATGATTTATGTTTAAATAAGATATATAAAAGATTGCAACATTTTTAGTGCATACTTAGTCTCTAGTACATACTTAATCTCCAGTACATACTTAATCTTCAGTACATACTTAGTCTCCACTACATACTTAATCTTCAGTACATAACGGGTGACAACTAAAAAACGAGACTGGATTTAAAGACACATCTCTTTTAAGGTACAAGAAAAAAACAAAAAGGAAAAAAGTTTTAAAAAGTACTTTTATTCTAGTTTTTATCTATATAATAATTAAACCATTTCGTGACTTTATCAACTAGGCGTGGTATAAACTGAGATAAACTCTGTATAAGCTCAATATCAACTTTATCAACTTGCTTCTAGAGCATAATTTTTTAAAATTTTCTGCATGCCAATTATTTTTGTAGACAGGCCTTCCAAAAAAAAGGGTTATCTGCTTTCTTAATGAAATACACATTTTTCTTGTTTCAGTACGTGATAACTGTTTTTGCATAGTGAGATAATGCCAAATGGGGCCAGAACACATATGCAATGCATATTCTGAAGAGTCAAGCATACTCATGGAGAATACATAAAATATATACTGAAGAATCCAGAATACATATACATCTGAATGATACTAATTGATGAATGGAATAAGTCTCTTCTTGATGTATTTGTTTACATAGATTTCTTGATTTACAGCCAGTCTACTATACACAAAATAGCCAAAGAATTTTTCATGCTGCATTAAATGACACTTGTTATGTAATATCAATATAACATTCCTGTAATATTAATATAACAAACATATGCTTGACGTGGCGCAACAAATCTACGAAAGTGAAAACTTTTGTTATTTAAAAAAAAAAAAAATAAACATCACGGTTTCTATAATTTTGCATATACAAATGTTGACATTTGCTTAAACTTTTTAAAAACACAGGCATTACTTCAGCAAATTTGAAAAACAACTTGTCACGCTCTGGGCTTGTAAAAAGTATAAAACCAAAATTTTTTAATTAATAAGCAATTTTTTAAATGAATAAAGAGATAGATCTCGCAATAATCAAAAGCTCTCCTAATAAGCTGTCTAGTGGAGCAGCTCGCATAGCTTGCCATGTTTGTTTTAGGAGAGCTTTTTGCTGCTCTCGCACTCATTTCTTCCCGCTGAGGCCTGTATGTATGTATGCATGTATGTATGTATGTATGTATGTATGTATGTATGTATGTATGTATGTATGTATGTATGTATGTATGTATGCATGTAGGTATGTATGTATGTATCTATGTATGTTCTATATGTACAAAATTCTATTCAATGGATTGGATTATACAAGGTATAATCCAATCCATAGAAAATTTTTTTTTTTGAAACTTTTGTTTTGTTTGGTATTTAACTCTAGATGGAATAGATTTTATATCTCTAGTATAAAATATATCATTACCATTGATACTAGAGTGATTTAATGTGAAATAAGACTCATCATCAATAATTGGTCGACTGCATTAAGTTTAGCAACTGCTTTTGCTGGTCAGAACATTTTGGAATTTTTTTTTCTTGATTTAATTTTTATCTTTTTTTTAATGTTTCACAGTTGTACAGTTGTGATGTTTTATAATAGTACAGTTTTTTGCTGCTATTCATTGAGAAATTCCATCTTTATGGTCAAACAAGTTTGAGTCTTTTAATGTTTGTCTTGGTCATTTTTTTAGCTTTTTCTCAACTTCCTTGAACTCTTTAAATACAGTCTTGCATTTCAATTATTCTGTCATTAGTCTTGAGTAAGTCTGGGAAAATAGAAAATAAGTCTAGGAACATAGAAAATAATACCTGATTGCAAAAGAGCTTTGTAAAATCTGTATTCAAGATGTAACTGTGGTGCACGTGTTTTCAGTGGTTCCTGTTCAAAATTAAACTTGATTAAGTTCACAATAGTCATTTAATAACATTAAAAAAAAATTATTGCTGGTAATTATAAATTATTTATTAAAATTTCTATATTTTTTCTTGAAAAACAAACAAAAAAAACTCACAAATATATTCAATATATATATATATATATATATATATATATATATACATATATATATATATACACATATATATATATATATACATATATATATACATATATATATATATATATATATATATATATATATATATATATATATATATATATATATTATATATATATATATATATATATATATATATATATGTATATATGTATATATGTATATATGTATATATGTATATATGTATATATGTATATATGTATATATGTATATATGTATATATATATATATATATATATATATATATATATATATATATATATATATATATATATATATATATATATATATACATATATATATATATATATATATATATATATATATATATATATATAATGAAGATTAGCTAAAAACAAGAGAAAAGTGCAACAACCTAATATATAAACTTGCGATTGTAAAACCATCAAACAGTAAGTATGTAAAAAAAATTTTAAGATTAAAATAAACGTGCAACAACTTACCAATTTGATAGCTACATGCTCATTTGTATATAAGTTTTTCCCTAGAAAAATGACCATAAAATATCAGAGATAAGTCATACATTACCATACTACACTGACTTAATTTTTGTCTTAGTTATCTCAGATATTTTTACTGACAAGCTGTTTTTTGTCTTACTCAACTGTGAATTAAAGTGATAGGTAATAAGAGCCCTATATATTATTGTAGTCAAATAATAAATGATATCAGTATTAAAACAATAGAAATGGTGACTCTTATCACGACCAGTATTACATAGCAAAAAATAATAAGAAATATTTATTAACACTCTTTAGCATAATAGTTTTTCGTGACTGAAATTTATAAATACAAGAATAAGCTTGAAAATTAATGAACTTGTATTATTTTATTAATAATACTTTCTCCGTTCCTGTCCTTGTTCCATTATGCATTTAATGCAAAGAACTATTGAAAATTTATTGTTGTTAATTTTTTTTATTTTTTATATAAATATATTATCTTATACAAAAAATACATATAAAATATATTAATTAAATATATAATATATTTATAGTAATTTTAAATTTATCTATAAATTATTTATTCAATTATTACAATTTGTGGCAAAACTTACAAGAAAATAAATAAAAAAGTTTTAAAGAAAAATAAAACAAAGTTTTACTTTTCTTTAAAAAATAAGACTAAATGCATTTATAAATGCATTTAAAAGAAAAAATGTTCTTAGTTAAATACAGAAATCATTATATATTATAGTAATATCATTAAAATAATACTGTAAATACTTTTATTAAAATAATAATAAAATAAGACATTCAATCATTTATGAAAAAAAGGATTTTCATCACCAGTAAAATTTAAATAAGTGAAGGGAAAAGCTTAGATTACGTTAAGTATAATATTCATCAACCAAGCAAACTAATGAGTTCAAGGCTGTTATAGTGAAAAAAATTACTGGTTTCTATTAACATGTAATAACTATTAGATAAAAATTTTAAAAGTAGATTTGATCATAAAAGATTTTTTCATTCTGACATTTTTATCCTTTAAAATTATATATATATATATATATATATATATATATATATATATATATATATATATATATATATATATATATATATATATATATATATACATATATATATATATATATATATACATACATACATACATACATACATACATACATACATACATACATACATACATACATACACTTACTAAAGCGTGTTTTGATAAGCATTTGCTCACTTTTTCTGCTTACCTTAAGCTATACCGTTTTTTTCGAAAAAGAAGAAGAAAAAACGAAGAATGACGAATAAAATGATTGATTCCCCATCCCAAATCCTCGATGTAGCAGCACTCCACTGCGAGTCAGGCTATTTGTCAGTCATTGTATGTACTGAAGCCCCCAGCAGCAGGCTACTTCAGTATGACGTCAGATTGCTTACCTTAGTACACAATACTATTTGTATATATATATATATATATATATATATATATATATATATATATATATATATATATATATATATATATATATATATATATATATATATATATATATATATATATATATATATATTAAAAGTTTAAAAATATCAGAACAAAAAACAGATTTTTAGTTTTTAATTTTAAAAGCCTGATCAATTAAACAATTAATGAGACCTACCTTATATGCAAAAGAGATGAAACTATAGAAATTATTAGAAAGTCCAGAGTAAGTGTTTTTATGAAAAATTGGAGTAAAAATAGAATTATTAGTTTTGAATATAGTTACATCTAAAAAGAAAAGTTCATATGCTCCTTTTTTTTCCATTATGAAAGAAAACGATTTGTGTCTGGTATTGATGCAATCAAGAAAACTGGAAGCATGAATTTTAGAAGGAAATGCTTCAAAATGTTGTCAACATATCTTTCATAAAAGTTTGGTTTGAATCCACTATACAATTTTAAATACTTTTCTTCATAGTTTATCCATAAAAAGATTTGAGAAAAATGGTGCAAGTGGTGAACCCATTGGCACCCCATTGAATTGGTCATAAAATTGACCTTTTTTTGTAAAATCAGCTTTATTGATTTTTAAGTTAGGGTTATTATTAAGATATATATATATATATATATATATATATATATATATATATATATATATATATATATATATATATATATATCTTAATAATAATGCAGGCTCGAAAATAAGTTTCTCCTAAAAAACTATGAAAATAAGTGAGCTCAAATAATAGTTACATTAAATCCCCCCTTTTTTAAAAATATTTTTACAAAAAAAAAAAAAAAAGCATAAGTAATCACTTCTAAAGAATTCTTTTTATAATTGTGTCAGCAAATTCCACAAATGTGTGAAAATTTACAGTAGTTAAAACATTTGCGACTTCCTGTAATTTAATTTTTTGGTATAAAGTGAAGTTTTATTAATTTGATCATTCATTTCTGATGAGTCTTTGTTAATGAAACAATGTGTAAAATGAAAAAACTTCTATTATTCTAACCTATAATATATAATATTTTGTTTTGACAACTTGGCTACAGCTCTTTGCAAGTTTTTATAATTAGCGGTTTTAAAAGAAAATGTTATTTATGGTTTTATTACATAAAAAATTGCGTTTTTTAAGAAAAAATGAAAAAAAATGCATTTCTAATGTTTTTTTATGATAATTTTGATAAATAAGTTAAAAATATTTCATAATGAATATTATTTTTGAAATATTTATATAATTTCGCTTCATTTGAGTACCAGGTTGACATATTTTTGAAAAATTTTTTTTCGAAAATATTAGGGACCCATTAAATATTCAAGGGTCTTGAGGGACCCCTTAAAATATTTTTTAATTAAAAAAAAATGTAAACCTAGTGTTTTTGTATTAGATAGAACACATTTAGGGGGTGAGAGCAGATTATTTTCAAAAATGTTGTTTTTTGGGACACCCTAATATATATATATATATATATATATATATATATATATATATATATATATATATATCAGGGGCTCTTTTAGACAGTATAATATAGCGATAGTGCCAACCGTATTTCCTTACAATAATACGTATTTCCTTATGATACATGCTATTACAGGGGGTATATATATATATATATATATATATATATATATATATATATATATATATATATATATATATATATATATATATATATATATATATATATATATCATTTTTACGGTTTTATGGAACAGAGTTTATTTAACGTTAGTCTAGTGAAGTTGTAGTTTCTTTCCTAATTATTTAGAATCATTCATCGTAGGTTTTTGTTTTTTTCATAAAAAGTTTCAATTTAATATTATACATTTTTTTAGATAGACCTAAAATTTCGTGCTGTACCTGACAAAACTTTTTTTTTTTCTTTACAATTTGACAACGGCTTTTTTGATGTTTTAACAATTTATATGCAATTAAAAAAATGATAACGTTACTGATAACTTTAATCATTGATCTTTTTTCAAGTTTTTATTTTATGCGAAGGCTTTAAATAAAATAAAATTAATTTATAATGATTGTTTAAAAAATAAACGCATTATGTGTATATCAAATGTTATAGGCTATACTCCATTTTTTAAATCACCAAAAAACCTTCAACAACTAATAACTCAAAAAAACAAACCTCGACTTCCCAGGAGTCTACAAACTGGAATGTTCGTGTGGAAAACTCTATGTAGGTGAAACAAAACTCAAGGTTTCAACTCGCATTTGCCAACATCAAAAACATACTTTCGAGGGAAAATGGAAAAATTCGGATATGGCAGGGCATTCCAGAAATTGCCATGGTGTCTTTGACTGTAGAGGTAGACTATTTTAAGAGAAAAGTGAGAGAGTCTTTGGAAATTCAGTATCATTAGTGTTCTCCCAATGAAGGTGGTTTGAATGAAGACGATGGTGATTATGTCGCATCATCGTTTTGGAAACCTTATTTTTCTTATTTAAGATGCAAGAACACATTACATTGAAGTTTTATTATTTGTTTGTTGTTTTTTTTTATGATATGATTTAATATATACTTAAATGCTTATCCATAGGGAGGAGGGGGGTGGTACAAAACTCTATATATTTTTTGTTTAACCAACTATTTTTAATTAATTTTGTTAGAAAAGTTCAATAAACAATTAAGTTTTTGCTATTTTTTTGTGGTTGACCTCCTACATCAATTTTTAACATTTTAAAAGTATTAAAAAACTTAAAAACTAGAAATCTTTGCAGCTTATTCTTTGCGTGTCAAGTTACACAACTTTATGTTAAAACTTATGCAATTTAAATTTTGATTAGATAATTCAAATTAAAATGAATGAAAGTTGCGTTTAAACAAAGTCTTATCTAGTGTAAAATTTTTTTTTGATAAAAAAACTTCTCTAAAAAATGGTTTGCTATTAATTTTGTAAACTGAATTTAGAATTAAAATAAAAAATATTGCAACAAGCAGTAACAAACTAATAAATAAATAAATTATAAACTAGAAAATAAATAAATCAAAATTATTAAACTTCTTTAGAAAACTTCTAGTAATCGAAGAGTTTGCAGGAATTAAAGAATCATACAAAGTTGCCTTTACTCAGGGTTGTTTTTGCACTTGCTGTCAAGTCAACAATAAATTATCTTTTGGAAATTTTCATTAAATAAGATTGACTTCTCAGTAATTGTAGAAGCAGTTTGTATATATGCAACAAAAAACTTGTATTATCATTGCAAACAGTTTAGCAAAACTTAGCTATATTACTTTGACAGAAAGTATTATAGGCATAGAAAAAGACTCAATGGTTGGGCCTTATTAGGAGATGCATGCGGTCGTATGTCTTGAATGACCACTCATAAATTTTTTTTGTTGATAACTTGGCCACGATTTTTTTGCATATATTAAAAATGACGCACTTTAAAAACGCGCTGAAAATACCAAACTAATTTGTCATATTATTGTATTTTTTTTATTAATTCATTATTATAATTGTTTAAGAGAAAATAAAAACATAACAATAATATACATACATATTTTTTAGTAAAAACAAAATAAAAACATAAAAATAATATATATTTTAATACATAAAAATAATATGTATGTTTTTTTGTTTTTTTTTATTTCATGCATTTACTAAAATTGTGACGCTTTTTCGTTAACAAAATGAATTATGCCATTAAGTAATTATTATTTCGTCGCCTTGTTTTTGACAATGTTTTAACTGAAACTTTTTATTTTAGGAGAATTAAAAAAAAAAGCTTTTTTTTTTTTTATGTGTATTAAAATTATTTATATTATTGTTTTTTTATTTGTTTATGTATTCTTATTTTGGTTGACATAAAAATGTAAATAATAAAAATAATAATTACGTAAATATTTTTATTTAGACATTAAACAAAAGATTTGTTTGCCTTTCCCCTAATATAAAAAAAATCAGTTAAAACCTTTTTAGTTTTTGTTATAGTAAAAAAAATAGTTTATTTGGGGGGTCATCCATAAACACGTCACCCTATATTAGTCAATTCTTTCCATCCATCCATTTGTTTGCCTTTCCCCTAATATAAAAAAAATCAGTTAAAACCTTTTTAGTTTTTGTTATAGTAAAAAAAATAGTTTATTTGGGGGGTCATCCATAAACACGTCACCCTATATTAGTCAATTCTTTCCATCCTGTCACAAACAATCACATAAACTCTCCTAAACTGTGATAGCAGTTTTGTGTTTTTCCATCATATTTTTAAATTTTAAATTTTAAAGATTTAAATGTGAATACTTTGCAGTATTTTAAAAATTCAACCTTATGAAAATATGCATAAACGTAAGAAGTCTAAGTAAATTCTTCGACAAACCAATGACTTATTTAAGTAATAATAAAGTTGTAATACTAAAATAATTTTTTTTATTAAGTTATTCTGTTCCACCCTAAGTCCGTTTTCAAACGAAGCCGGGCTTAGGGTGATGTTTTACCCCGAGTGCGGTTTTTCGTTGAAACTCGGGGTAGGTCAGTTTTACTTGGGGTGAGTGACTTTTTAATGCGAGTTGATATTTATAATGTCATTTCAAGCAAATTTTTAAACTTTAAAATGCAAACACTCAAGAGCGAATGATTTTTTGAAAATATTTTATGATATATTATATAATTTATTATATTTTAACAATAGATAAGAATGAAAAAAAATAAAAAATTAGTGTTTCTTATTAGTATATAAAAAGTTGTATACTATTGTATTGTATAATAATGTATATTAGTATTGTAATATATTACAAATAGTATTTGTATAATAATACAAACGTATTTGAAATATGTATTGGTATCATAAAATCTATGAATGTTTCATGTCTAATTTTTGTAATCCTATGATAGGAAAAATTGTTAAAATGAATCCTGAATGTTTTGAACAGCAAGAATATCAGTTTGAAAAATGGTTAAATCTTAACAATAAGTCAAACAGCTCTGTTTTATCAGAATGTGAATATACTTCCATTATCGAATATTTGAAAGATAAAAATGATGGAAAAACTGGATATATTACTTCACGGAATATTCAACGAAGAATCAAGTCAAACAAGTTTAAACTAATTGATTACCCACCCTTAGGTTTAAAAGATATTTTATGTGCTCCAACTAAATGTAATACAGAGGTAGATTTTATCTGCTATATTTACTGCATATATTTGTTTTCTATCATCAAATAATTATTCTGCATTATATACTGAAAAACAAATTTATGATATTATCTTATTATAAGATATTATCATAAATTTGATAAGATATAAGATTTATATTGTGACACAAAGTTTCACCGTGTGTACACAATTTGTGTATACATGCATTTTGTGTATGCTATTTTATTTTTATATGTCGGAATATAATAAAAGTAAACAGAATATACAGCACATTTTATGCTTTTCATTGTATTACAGCTCATATAATGCAGGATGAAATTTTTTCGTTGTATTACAGCTATATAATACAGGGTGAAACTTTGTTAGATTTTCGTTGTATTACAGCTATATAATACAGGGTGAAACTTTTTCGTTGTATTACAGCTAGAGGGTGAAACTTTGTTAGATTTTAGCTTCGATAGATAGAAACTTTAATAGATTTTTTAACAAAATTTGTCTGTGCATTAAATAGTAAGTTTAAAGGTAAATGTGTTTACAATTATACTTTTATTAATATTATATCATGCTGTCTAGTATATTTAAAGTGTTTTAAAATTGGTTTTAAAGTTTTAATAAGTAAATATCTAATTAAATTTATTTATTAATTCAGAATAATTTGCGAGAATCATCGCCATTTGGAAACTACAGTCGTGTAGTGAGTACTAAAGATGTTTTTTCTGCTATTAATATTGCACATTGCCAGAATGGTCTGCATCTTGGGGCTTTAAAAACTTATAAGAAGGTACTGATTACTTACTGATATTTTTATTTTTATTTTATGTTGTGCTTTTTCTATTGTGATAGTCATGGTATATTTACTTTTTATATGCTGTGGAAAATATGATATTGTACTAATTTTATCTACCTTCAGATAAATACTAACTACCTAAAATATTATAGTTTTCTACATTTTAAAGATTCAGTTTTAAATGTAGGGGCTTGCTGTATTTATAAATTAACTTTTCTTTTATAGATTATTGAGGGTTATGCAAACATTGCAAGAAAAACTGTTGAAATTTTTATCAGTTTCTGCCCAACTTGCAATTTAAATGAAAGGCAGTTGAAAAAAGCACCATTACAACCAATAATTTCTACTGGTTTTTTGCAACGTCATTAAGTATAATCAGTTTTTACTTTAAATTTCTAACCATGTTTTTTTAAATAGTATACTCATTTGTTTTTTAACCATGTTTTTTTAACTAATATACTCAGTTTGTTGTTAAATATAACTTTGTTGTTTATTAAATGTTATTCTGCTATTTATAAAGTTTGACTATTTATATTATATTTATATACTAAATATACTTAGATTGATTTGATTGCAATGGAATCTAAGCCAGATAAGGAATTCAGATATATTGGTCATGTTGTTGATCATTTCAGTAAGTTTCATATTTTGTTTCCTATGAGAAATAAAACAGCTTTAGAAACAGCAAACAATCTTAAAAGGTTTGTGCTGAGTTACTTTGGTTTACCAGCAATTTTGCATAGTGACAATGGTAGTGAATTTGTAAATGATGTTATAAAATCACTTTTGTTAACATGGCCTGGGAAAACCCAAATTGTAAATGGTTCACCAAGACATTCTCAAAGTCAAGGTTTAGTTGAACAGGGCAATTTACCATAGAGCCATTAATATCTTCTCGTGAATATGATTCTGGTCAAAGTAACTGGTCAGAATGGTTGGTTGAAATTCAATGTAAGTTTAATGTAAATTATTGTTTTTTTTTTAATGAAAAGCTTATGCTCAAAGTTAATCAGTTTTATTGCCACTACAATGATAGAATTTTTTTATGTAACATATTTTGTTATCATTTTGACAAACAATTTACTGTAATAATATAGGAAAAAATATTTTATTTTTTTCCCCTAAAAATCTAACTAAATTTGTATAGATGTTATGAATACTACATATGTAAGGAGCATAAAAACGACACCTTATGAGATTGTGTTTGGCCAAAAACCAAATGGACAATTTCCTTTAGAGGGTAAAGAAGTAAATGAAGATGATGTTGCAAACATAATTGAGAATCCTAATCAAAGTAAATTTAAAGATGAGTTAAATGTCAATCCCATTTGAGTGAGTTAAATGTCAATCCTATTAAAAAATCGTTTTTTGCAATATAGCAGGATGAACATAAATTTTTTTTTTTTTATCTTTTTTTGTCATTTGTGTCACAAAATTGTTGATTTTATAATAAAAAAACCTGGATTACTTTCTTCATTTTTATTCATTAATCAAATAAGTTATTTGAAATTCCATTTTGTGTGTGTGTGTGCAAATTTCTTTTATAAAATATTGGATGGTTTATTCATTTTCACTATAAATATCTGAAATTTTTGTTATTGACTAGATGTTGCTGATGGTAGGACAACTGACACTCCAGAATGCAGCAGAACTTACAAAAGCATTGCAAAAGCAAAATGTATTATCTATTATATTAAAAATTGCTGTGCATTTTAATTAGACCAGCAATTGTACATTTTGATTAGAAAAATGCCTCATGTTATTTATTTTCCAGATGATGGAGGTAGTAACACTGCAGAATGCAGTGGAAATTCAAGTGATTTTGAAGGTAACTTACTGTTTACTTTGTTATTACTTGTGGTCTTAATTATAATTGTTGTCTAACAAAAATGTTTGACAACCATTAAAACTTTCAGTTTTCATGTCTTTAATTGAATTTTTTGTTTTCAAATACTTAGAAATATTTTGTTTTCAGTATACAAAATATTTTTTGATCTTCTTTATTTCTTTATTTTTGTATCAAGGTGGCTTAAGTGATAACACTCTCACTGACGGAGAAGACTGTGGTATTGTTGACTTTTCGTACCACCATGAGTCTGAAGAAGATACTAAAGATAGGATGAAGGTATAAAAAAATATTTTATAATGTTAATGTTTTTCAGTTAAAAAAAATCTTTCGAATTAATTTTTTTATTCAAGTTTTTATATCAAGTTGTGTTTTTAGATAACTTGTCCAATTCGCAAGAAACTTTGCCATGAAACAGCAAGTAATCTTGAAAAAAATGCAAAATTCATGGTTAAAAAGTATAATAAACAAAAAAAATTTAAAGTTACAGTTTTCAAAGAAGGTGATCATGTCAGTGTGGCTATACCAAAATCATTGCGTAACTCTACTGACATGATAGATTTAAAAATATTTATTAACTGTTAGACGTATTTAAGAGTAATTTCGAGGAAACATTTTAAAAATTGGTGAGCGCAAATAAAATAAAAAAAAGGATTAATATTAAAACGTATTCTACTTGATTCAATAAAAAAAGTACTGTTGTTAAAATTTTTGTAAAAAGTATCTCAAAAAATTACTTAAATAATAACGATCTCTTTTATGTTAAAAGTTAACGAAACTCAACGAAGCGTGCTCAAGAACAGCTGCTGAAAAATAAAACGTCAATAGTTTTTCGAATAATTTTTAATAACAATTTTTAAGAATAATTTTTTCGCTGAAATATTTCTTTTATACCTATAAGATTTTTATTCTAACATTTTATTTTATTTTACTAGAAATAAAATTCCTTGTTAACATTAAAAATCTATTCAAAACGTTCGTTTAAGTTTTTTATTAATATGAGTGATTGTGCTTATCAACCGCTTTATGAAAATAAATAAAAATAAATAAACATTATATAAAATCGCTTGTAAAAATATCAGTTTTTAATCGTACAATATTAAAATTTCCAGTTTATTACTCGCTGACTTTTTAAAAAGAAAAAATAATTATTTGAAAAACTTTAAATTACATATTTAAGAAAAAAAAAAATCAAATATTAGCATATTTTATAATCTTTTTTAAATTTAAGTTAAAATGTTTTTTATTTGTTTAGTATAGACAAAACGTGACAAACGTCGAGAAAATAAACAAATGTTTTTACATTTTAAAAAACGAAACTTTCAAAAACATTTTTAAATAATAACATAAACGATTTAAAGTAGTTTTGCGGTAATTAAGTAAATTGGTGAAGTTAATGTTGATAAATATGAAAAGCAAATAAAAAGAATTTAATGACGTCAAAAATCACGTCGTGCTTATGCGTCGCGCAGTTCTTATTCATCGCAAGGCCTGTTAATGCCATACAGCAGTATTGTCAAAGTTAAAAGTGATGGCAATGTTAGCTTAAGTCTTAAATGAAGTCACTAGTAAAGTAGTCTTTTGAAATGGAATACCATGTGTCTCACGATGTCATAAAAGAAAAACAAAAAATTGCAAAAACAACAACCCCCATTTTTCTGTACAGAGTGAAAGTAAGTCAAATGAAACCTTAGACCAATTATTTTCTGAAGCTTTGAATTATTTTATTTAACACCATCAATAGAAAATTAGATTTTACTATTTTGTATGAATAGTATATAAATCATATTGGTTTTTGAGGCTTCCAGGCATTAAGTACATATATCAACTGAGCGTTTTGGAGGATTTTGATTTGTTATAGTTTTGTGGCAGTTTTTCCTTTGAAATAAAATGTAATTAAGTAATTCATTTTGAACTTCAAATTCATTGAACATTTTATAAACAAATACTGCTTTTTAAATTTTAGGGAATGATGATAGTTTAACTGAATCAGTAAATATTCAAATGGCAATAATTTCCAGTAAGTTTAACCTTAAGTATAGTTAGTTTAACTTTCAGTAATTTCTAATAAGAATGTTACAAACCAACAACAACTTTCAAAATACTTGTTTTTTCAAGTTCTTTGCAATAAATAAGAATATCTATTTTGTATATTTATAGCAATTAATGAGCAAAAATTATTAGAGTTTAATCGCAACAATATAAATGAAGACGAAGATTCAGGTAACATTGTATCACAGTATACAAATTACTTACTATTTATAAATCATAACTGCAGCAGATTTTTAAATTTAATTTATAATAAAAAGAAAGTTTCACCATGTTGTCTCGCCTAAAGTTCAGTATAAATTAAACTGTCTTCTAATGCATTCTTAGATATTTTTTTTCTGTTGAGTGTGGCAAAAGTAATTGCATAATTAAATTTCAGGCAATTCCCAAGATGTAGTGGCATTTAAAAGAGAAGAAGTCTCAAATGTGCAAATTTCAAATTGTTTTGCTATATGTTTAGTTACATTCAATAAAACCTGTAAATATTATCCAATTAATTTAGTGACCGTTTATCGTTTTTTATAATACAATAGTAATATGCTATAAATATCGTTTTCATAATGAATTATGATTCCAGTTTAAATTTGTTCTATTTGCCAGTAGGAAAAACTTTCGCTTTTGCGCTCTCTTTACCGAGCTTATTATTAATATATTGAGCTTAAAATTTCCCTCGTTGGTAAAAAAAGAGGAAATTCATTGAGAGTACCGTAAAGAATGCAGGCAATTTACGGAAGCTCCAATATAAATTAGCCAATTTAAAAAAAATAATAAAATGGTACTAAAGTTGAACATTTTTTGAATATAACTTTATTATCATACTAACTCAACTCTACATAAAAAGTATGGACATATGTTTGCCCGAAACATTGATATAAGTTTGTCTAAAAAATATATTTCATTTTGTTTAAAATCTTTACAGAAAAAGCCATAATTTTAAAGAAGAACATCGCAAATAAATATTTGTACTTTTATTATTTTTTATAACGTAAATTTTAATAATCAAAAATAGTTTTATTTATTTTATATTATGCTATCAATCCGCTAAAAAAAAAAAAAAACGCTAAAAAAAAATCAGCATGTTGCAAAAATAATAACTTTTAAAACTTTCGATATCCGTACTTGGGATATGCGTGTCGAACTCGGGGTACCTACCCCGAGTTCGGCACCCCAAGCCAGGCTTTGCGTAAAAACCAAACTCGGGGTGGAACAATTTTTGGTCTTGCAGAAAAATTGCTTTCAATTTGATAACTATCACAAATGTTATAAAAAATCACTCAGGAAGAGTGCCACCAGTTTTTAAAAATTTCCTTTGTCAATTCTTTTTTAATGAATAAGTTCAATACTTTCACAATTCTTTTGTTATGTAACTCTAACTCTTAATAATAGATTAAAAAAATTTACGATAATAATCGCTTGATAATGTAAGTGATGCAAAGTAAAATATACAGAATCAAAAAAATAAATTTATTTTCTTTAGCCGGTCAACTCTGATTTTTATATATTTTTAAAATTGGTTATCAACATTTTGTGAAAGTTTCTAATACAAACCGCTTTACTGATTCACAGAAATCAGAAGTTGAAGCAATTTTTTTTTTTGAAAAGCGACATTTTCAGCAATAAGTTCCCCCTCTTTTAGCCAGACTCAAAACTTTTTATCTTATTTTATTCATTAGACTAACAACTTTCATACAAAGTAGCTTAAAGTTTAAATAAGCAAATATTTGATAAAATTGTTACGCGTGTAGCTTAAGTTTAAAATGGAATTGCCTATATATATATTATTTTTATGTTTTTATTTTCTCATTAATAATTATAATAATAAATTATTAATAAGAAAAATAAAATATGATAAATTAGTTTGGTTTTTTCAGCATGTTTTTAAAATGCGCCATTTTTAATATATACAAAAAAATCATGGCCAAGTTATCAACAAAAAACATATATATGCGTGGTCATTCAATGCGTGCGACCGCACGCCTCTCTTGAGAAGGCCTGATGATGGAATAATGTTTTTAATTAGATATATACATATGTTTTTGCAATTTATAAAACAATTAAAAATAACATTGAATCTGCTTAAGAAATACAGTTGATTACAAAAATTCCTTGTGGTAGTATAGTTACTATCCAACCTTTGTGAAATCAAGATTTAGTTAATTAGAAATATTTTGGGAAATGTGTCTCATAGTTAAAAATTTAAAAATATGAAATACAGTTGGAACCAGTGACAGAAACCACTGAGATGAGTGGGTTAGCAAAACAAGAACTGTAAGCTTTACTTTAGGCATCAAAGAAATATTATATATTTGCTCGTTTACCAGGCAGCCTATTTATTTGTAGAAGTCAACAAGTATATTAAAAAAAGAAATATCTGACGATTGATGAATGCGATGTTTATTATAGTAATAATCAAAAAATAGTAGATTATTGCAGCAAAGATCTACTTTATTTAAAATCATAATTGTTGAAAAAAAAAATTTTTTTAGTTGTTAAGCTTCCAAAAAAATCTTATCACAAAGCACCATGAAAGACCATTTTAAATAGGAAGTTTACAACTCCTTCCTTACCAATATTGCCTATTTGGTCAGAGCCAACATCGAAGCTCAGAACTCTTGATTTTGAGAAAGAACTCAAATCACCGCACCACAGTTGCAATGAAGTTATTTCGCATTTTTACTTGTAATTGTTACAAATTGCTCCTTTTAAGGAGTAATTTCATGTATAATGCCTAATTTTTTGTTATATTTATTTACTACACATAATGATTACATACTTTTTTAATAAAACGAAAAAAAAAAAATATTTACCATGAATTCTACTTTGATAATAATAATGATTTCATTTAATTTAACAATTGATTGTTTTGTTAAAATAGTCATTTTTATTGAAATTGATGTAGAAGGCCATCAATTTCAATAAAAATCAAAAAAATGAATATTTATAATGAAAAAAAAGTATTAAGTAATTCCAAATCAACATAAAAAATTAATTAAGAAAAAGTGTTTAAACTACACAAAATCCAAAAAAAGTCAATTTTGGACCTCCCCCCCCCCCCCAATCCATAAAAAAGATTTCTGTAAGTTTATATATAATTGTCAAAATTAAAAAACCAATGACAGTCAAATCTTGCCAGTAAAATCTGACAAACTCTTGATAATGAAACAAATAGCTTTTCTGTTATAAAAAAATCTGATTTTCAAAATTCATTGTCATTTACTAATACTTTGAAAACAGTTCCTTTAACGAAAATAGTAGTTACTTAAAGCTAAAAATTGTTCACAAAACTTCTTTCATTCAGGAGAATTTAAATAATTGAAGTATAATTGTTTCTGATAAAAAACTAACAGACCAGAACTGATATGGGCAAAATAAAAAAGCAATAACCTTTAATAACTTTTAAGAAAAATTCATTGTTACCCACGATACCAGAATTAAAATATCACGATACCAGAATCAAAACACGATACCAGAATCAAAATATCGTGTTACCCACGATACCAGAATCAAAATACCAGAATTTATTGTGTTACCCACAATACCAGAATCAAAATAACAGAATTAAGGCAGAACTTTATTTTTTTATTGACAAGAATTGTTATGACAACCACTGATAATATTTATGCATTTGAAAAGAACTTAATTTGCTGCATTTTTTCTAGAATAAGTGGAAGTAAACTTAACTAAAATAAGTGAATATTTTAAAGGTCCAATCAAAAATACCAATCAGTATTGAAAATGCAACTTCAGTCCAACCAGAATTAAAGATGCACTTCAGTCCAATCAGTATTCAAGATGCAACTTCAGTTCAAACATGCATTAATGATAAAAGTCTTTCTAAAATCAAAAAAAATTCTGCTGCCTTTGGGTGACATGGTGGCTGAAAAAAAGTAAGAATAAACATATACTATAGAATGAAGCTAAACTTCATTAAAAAGAGTTTCAAAGTGATATTTGACAGTTTTATATGTGT